CAGAATGACTGTTTTGGCAAGCCAAATGGTGGAGAGGGTGTATCTAGTTTACTAAAGACAAATACATGTAACATTCATGGAGTTAAAAATCCAAATGCTGATCATAAGCATATTGGAGCCAGAATCATAGTTTTCCAACCAGGAATGCAATATTAGGACAGGTCTCACCATCCTTTTTTGGACTGATGATCATTTGAAAATTTGAGAGCATGTAATGGACACTGTGGCAAAATGGCTGGTAGGGACATGCTTGCCCATTCATAAAATGGCTACCATAGAGTACCTAACCAGATATTTATTGGTTGGTTGGTTGGTTAAATGTACAAAGTACTCATTTATCAGAATTCTGTCTGCCGCCACCTCTTGTTCCCACTCCTGCAGGATACCTTTCCACCCCAGCTGACCTGTCTTTTTTTTTCAGGGTAGATGATGCACTTCCAAGAAGAGACTGGGCACCACTCAACCACATTTTTTTTCTAAAATATTTATGGAGCCCAGAGGCATTTTTGGAAATAAAGATAATACTGGAGGTTAATGCCTTGCTGTGCAGTATGCCTGCTCCCTTGCCTTTCTTCTTTGTAATAAAAATATTTGTGAAGAGAACATATGCAAGATGGGGCCAAGAAAGGGTTTTGTGGAAAGGTTGATTCCCATTGGGTCCATACTGAGGATCTCTCTCTTAGGGAAAGTTCTGCACTTTACATTGCAGAAGCGTGATTAATTGCATATTGATTACTGAAACATTAGCTATGAAGGAAAGCTCTTAGTGACAAGTATAGAGAATAGGATAAAATATCCTCCAAAGAACATTTTATATATATGGAAATATATTTATATTCAGTTCCTAACAGTATCAGAGAAAGGTCTCTAATCAAGATAGACTGCAATTACCTCTCCCTCTGGAGCAATATTTACTATTTTTCAAGCAGACCACTTTTCCTGTGGGAGCCGATCAGTGGAAAAATTAAACAGTTTAGATGAATGCTGCTTTTTATTCTAAACCCTCATTTCCAAACCACTCTGCTTTAAAAAAGCTGCAGAGGCACGGTTGCCCACGTTCTGTGTGTCACTGTGGGAAGCCCTTTTCCCTTGTCTTTCCTCACACACTTTTATAGAAATACAAGTGTCTGAAAAGTGAGAGTGGTGTATAGCATCGTCCTTTGGTTTTTTAAGAAAAGCCAAACAATACAATCTAAAACTAAACAGTGCATTGGTATTTATTGCAGCTTCTCCTTTCTTCATTATTTATTATGTTTGGACTTTTTCATATATTCCTTAGAGAGAAAACCATTTGTTGTTGTTTTCTTTAATTTCAAAACCAACTGTTATTTTAAATTCTCTGCCATGGAGTTTAATGCTTCAAGCCAGCAGAATTCCTACTCATTTTCCTCTGAACACAAGAGCTGACTGACTAGTTCGAATTCTGTGATTACTTTCTAAATGTAGAAAAAAAAAATCCTCCCTTTGGGGCTAGGGTAGAAGATAATGGGTGCAAGCTGTTCTTCTCCCTGGATCAAATTTCTTGCTGCCCTTCCAGAGGGATCAAGACTGACTTCTTTTGCAAATAAATAAGCAGGTCTTTTTTTTTCTTTCTTTCTTTCTTTCAATGTTAGTCTCTTTTTTCTTACCTCTTCTTTAGCCACAGCTTTGTCATGGTCAAAGGAGCTGCTCTACTCCTGCCGGAAGAAGACAAGTTGGAGGCAGTCCAGGAGGGTCCAGCAGCCCCCCTAGACCAAACACCTAAAAGTGAGGATGCTGCAGCTGGGCAGCAAGAACTGCACTTAAAGCAAATGGTGGGGATACTGCGGCCAGAAGATACCATCCAGCTGGTGAGACTGCTAATAGCGGGGCGGGGGGGGGCACAAGCAGCAGAGAAAAGGTAGCAACAGGAAAGCCATCGCTACTTGAGCCTCAAGAAGCCAGTGATGTCTCCCCACATTTCTTTCCGTGATCCACAGACCTCATACGCCAATGATGTTTCTTACCCCAGTTCTGCATTTTGCTGTCTGATTAGTAAAGATCTGGTGTTCCTGTCAGAGCAGATCACTTTGCCAGTCAAAGTGATCTGGAGGAATTGTCCTACTTTGCACCCTAGGAGGCCAGTGGGGTCTTTCCTGACATATCTTGGTCAAGGAATAAACAGGTTCCTATCCTGCTGAGCCCCCTTTGGTATCCAGGATGCTCTGCTTTTGTCTAACCATGACGTAGCAAGGAGCATTTCCCTGATCTGTAACATGTTGGCTTATACAGCAATTAGTAGTGAAAGGAGTTGCTTTGTTCTGCAGAAACAGTTTTTTAATAAGAGACTAATGGTTTATTGCTGGCCTACTTTTCAGTAATGCAATAAAATCTGTGTCTGGACAATATCACTCAGATTGCAGGTGAGGCTTCATATACTGTAGCTAAATGTACCTCCAGGGTGGCTGGAATTAGCTGCATTTATAAAGAAGAGTTTTGTCCTCATGTTCTCTGTTATATTCTCATCTTCTATATGTGGAAATGTGCTTTTTTCCCTCACATTCCATCATGCGAGTTGCCCCCTGCAGACTGCAGGAGACACAAGTTTATTGCCTCAAGAGAAATTCTGGAAGACCCAGATTGCTTCCCAGGCTGATTCAGACTTTCCAAGTTGTTTCCTTCTTCAGATTACTCCTTGTTTATGACCTGACCTAGCCTTTTTTTCCTATCTCCTGTTGTGATGCGAGGCCAGAACTGATGCTCCTTGGCAGTCTTGTGAGAAATGGACTCAGCCCTGCCTACCTTCCGGGACTCTCTCTTTGGGCCCTCATCGTCCTTCCCGTGGGGTGGGGGTGGGGAAGAATTCCTCTCCTTTTGGAATGTGGCTTTCAGACATTCAGCCAGGAGCTCAGCCACTTCCCCATTTATGGCCTGTGGGGCTCTTCGTCTCTTGGGCAGGCAGCCAGAGCTGGCGTTTCTGCTGAGCTTGATCCCAGCTTTGTCTCTGGGGCCTCTGCTGGGAGATTTCCAAGCTGGCTTAAATAACTTTTATTTTTCTTTCTTTTTTTTTTTTCCTGCTTCTTCCTAGAGAGTGAGTCACAGCAGCCTCCAAGCACCTGGGACAATTTCTTTCAGGCAGTGGCTTTCAAGCTGTGTTCTGGTAGACCCTGCCTCTCTTTGGAAGCTCACCAGGGGTTGTTCAGTTAGAAGAGAAGTTATAGTGGACACATTACTCAAAGTCAGTTTGTTCTCTGTTGTAGAGCTTCCTCTTCCCATGTGGAAAATGAACAAATGTCCATCTGTTGGGGGTTTTCTCAGTTCAGAAGCCCCAAGACTTTTGCCCAGAGCTTCCAAATCTAGCTTCAGAATCTTTGCAAAGCTGCTGGTTTTCCATGTCAGCTGTTCGTGTGGAACCCGTCGCCAAGAGATCTGTAAAATATTAGGCTGGATTCACACATCATACTAAGCTGGTAGTGATTCCCCAAAGGGGGTGGGCCTAAAAAGGCCCTTTTTGTGTTTGTTTTTGGAAGGTGCAGATACAAGGGGCCCATTTCACCTCCTAAGACTTGTGACACTGCCCCCAAATGGACCTTGGCCCTATCCATCTCTGAAGTGGGGCCAGGAGTGTCTGCAGGGTGTGGTCAAAAAAAGTCAAGATGGCAGTACAATAATGCAGTTGAAGCACCACCTGTTTTTATGGCATTGTGCTATCGTGACTGCCATCTTGACTTTTTTGACCACACCCCGCAGCCACCCCTGAGTATGGCCCGTAATAGGCTGCCAAACCCTGGGGTGGTCTTCAAGAGTGACAGAATTTGCATCCTCTCTACTAAGTCATAATGGGAGTTGGTTTAGTTCTGTAAACCCAACCAATTGTTGCTTATTCAATAAATCATGGCTAAATCTTGGCTTAGCATAATATGCGAATATTGTATAGTCTTTCTCACCTGCTTATCAATATTCACACAAGATACCAATAGCCAGACTGGAGAGAAAAGTATAAAATACAATAATAAATATTGTTTAAAAGTTAAATAATACTTCTAAGGAGTCGATAGAGGAATTCACCTTTCCTTATATATCTGTCTGAGATTAACAATTAAAACAATCCATTATCATTCTAATATTGTTAAGTGTCTTGCAGATATTCAGCATTTTAGAAGGCATGTTTCCATAATATGCTAACCCACTTGGATTGCTTCAGGTGGATTCTTGAAATACTATCTGACTCCCACCCCATGAAGCTCTTTAACCATACTCCATAGTTTTCCTCTGGTTAACTATGAACCTGAAACGGCTGTCATTCCCAAGTACTGCACTGTTCGTTTGTTGATTTTGGTGATCAGAAATGGCAGCAGCTTGGTGTTCAGGCAAGCTGCTTAGCCAAAAAAGGTTGTTAAGGAGCCACTCAAAATGGGGGTAAAATGGTAATTTGTTCACTCACATTAATAAGCATGGTGTGTTGTGTGAATACACTTTAAATTTCCAGGCCTCTTAACTTAGAAAAGAAACAAAAGTATGTTCTCAAGGATGGAAAACTAAGGTGAATTACAAAGTTCAGTTCTATACATCTGCCTTCTTTTGTTTTAAATCTTGATATAGTATGATTTTACAGATAAGATTTATAATTTTTGGAAACTAGTTTCTAAACACCAAATGCAATGCAAAGCACACTTCAGCTTATTTGCAAACATGTTTCTTTTTCTGGATAATTACGTAAAAAAAAAAATTCTCCTCAAAACCACTGCTTCTTTTCTGACTGGAAATTGAATCAGCAGCTACCAAGAAGGAATGAGGTTTATCTTCTCTTCTAGGACTGGTGAGAATCTGAACATATGTGTTACTAATCATGATATTTTAATGTAGGTATTAACATGAAGTGTAGCCAAGGCTCAGGACTCAGAAAGCTTCCAAATGTTGGTGAACAAAATCCTTCCCCTGGATCTGTGGCAGCACCACACATTTTCATGGTAGAGATTGCACTGATGTATATATGTAAGTGACACTGGAAGGCAAACTTGCAAGACTAGTATGTTTTCCTCCTTGCAGGCTGTGAGACTGGAGTCAGCGCGAGTTCATAGGATCCGATACCTGTTGGTGGTCTCAGCAGCGGAGATGGAGAGTAAGAGCGAGATGGTGCTTTTGGGGGTGGACTTCCCTGATGAAAGGTGAGGAGACAAGGGAGTGGTGCTAGCAGGAGAAGGGGAAGGATTGTACTGGGGAGTAGAGAGAATGGCCGGGTTCACACTTCACAGTAACGTGCACTGTACTTTAGTTTTGTCTCTGCGTGCTGGGTGAACCTAGCCCCTTTGGTTTATAAACCTTAATGTTCTGTGATTTCAACCATTCTGGTTTTGTCAGTAAACTGTGGCTAATACAGTGGGTTAACTCAGCCCTATATACAACTGACGCTGCAGTTCTGTCTGCCCTGGGGATCCTTTGGTTGATGTCTCATTAATTTGAGGTCATTTGGAATGAGAGACCAAAAAACCAAAATGGCTGGTAATGATGGATCTACGCAGAAAATGGTCTGGAGGGCAAAATCTGTTTGCCCCTATTAACCATACTTACATATCTAAATTACCTGCATGTATAAATATGAATCCATTGCCGAACAGATAATTTAACAGTATAATGTAGTCTGGAAGTTAACTTTCTGATTTGTTAGAATGAACTGGGAGTCAGATGTCCTCACCAGTCTACTGCAAAACAACCCACTGATTCCAATTTAGCCTCTTACCCTATCATGCCACATCATTCCACTTTCTAAATGGTGACTTGTGGAAAAAAGGAAGAGAGAGAGAGAATTTGGTTCTTTAGTGTTTATTTTAAAGCATATTCAAAAGCCAAATTTAACAACCTGGATTGATAAATGGAACATAAACTAAATGGCTGCATTGTGCTCTACTTGGGGCTGCCTCTGAAAACTATGCAGAAACTACCATTGGTACCAAATGCAGTGGCCTGTATGCTGGGAAGTGAAAGGCATTGTGGCCATATAACACGATGGTACTTTTCTCTTACAAAGGCCTACATGGCTTGACTCCTAGATATCTCTAGAATCAAGTCTTCAACGTACAGCTGACCTGGCCTGACTGCTCATCTCAAGGACGGATGCTCAAGCCCCCTCTGTTCATGAGGTGGTGAGGGGAAGCCTGGAGGCAGCGCTTCTCTGTTGCGGCCCCTTCCCTCTGGAGTAGCCTCCCCCCAGGGGTTCAGTTGGCAGCCACCTGATGCAATTTAGGAACAGTACCATTCCACAGAGACTTCAATAGGTAATTTTAATTATCACCATTGTGAAGGGGTGCCAGTGGGTAATGATTTAATTTGTTGTAAGGTAGTTTAATTCTTTTATTGATCCTGTGTTTTATTGTTTTGTGTAAACAGCTAGGAGTCATACTTGGAATTCAGTGCTATTATTAGAAATAACCAAATGCATTTGTGCTCCAGTTCACAATCCCTTTGCTCTCTTCATAAAATTAGTAACACATAAAATCCTTCATCAGAACCATCTTAGTTTAGCAGTTGTTCCTTACCTCATGCATATCTAACCTGCCTTATATATTTTATTTCCTAGTCAAACCAGTTTGACAGTTCACAGAGATTATTTTTCTCTCTCTCTTCTATTTTTCCAAAGTGAGTTCTCCTGGAACTTTTATGTATGTGTTCAGCTGGAAGCAAGTAAAGTTTGCTACAGCAGAATTCTAAATCAAGAAGCAGAATAGAAGTCTTCTGTATTTTCCCCTTAGCCACCACAAAGATTCCATGTCTGCATAATAAAGTACAGTCCCTCTGTTGTGGAGCATCTATTTGACTGAAACCTTGCTGATAATATATTTATTTTTACAATATTTACCAAACAACTGCAAAAGCAGGTTTAGGAGAGAGCACAGATAGGACCAAAGAAACTAGTCTCCAAAGCAAACAAGCGCTATAATGTTTGTTTTAGATACTCTCTAATTCCTTCTTTCTCTCTTTCTTAATCAGCTTGGCTACCTGCACCCTGGGTATGGTGCTTCCACTTTGGAGTGACACCCAGGTTTTCCTTGATGGCGATGGGTAAGATAGTTCCTACTCCTACTTTATATTATTACATATAATTGCAATTAATGGGTTAATTTTAAGCTTCTCTCAGGAGCTTGCTTTGCAAATAGAATGGCATACACAAACAGACTGGGATAATGAAAGGTCATACTAGTTTTTTTTTTTATTTCACAAGTTGTGCTTATATGGAATAAACAGGGGGTGTCTCCTCTACTTTCACAAACAGAAGTGGCGTGAAGTTTAGCCTGAACCACTAAGAGATTTCATTTGTTTCTGGATCCCTCCCCTCCTGTTTTCCAGAACTCACCTTTTTCTATTCTCTTCCACATGTTCCTTTTTTCAAGATCTGTCCCTTCTGCTGCAAATCACAATGACACCCCCCTTCCGAAAAAAGTGATGAAATGTGTGTTGTGTTGTTATAATGCAAACCCTGGCCTTTTGTGCTTGCATCATGACATTGGAAGCAAATATGTAAGTCATGTAGCTTGCATTTTGATACTCCTATGCAAGTTTTCTCATTTTCTCTGCTCCCCCAACATCTCTCTTTCCACAAGTTATTTTCTGCTATTCTGCATTTTGCTATATTTGTTGCTATTATTGAAACAGCAGTATATCAGAATCAATTTGCATGTCTGTTTCAAAAGTAAAATAAAAAAAGGTCCCTGCCCAGAAGGACTTAGAGTTTAAAATTTAATACATGAGTAACAATGGAAGTAGATAAAGCAGACAAACATAAATGGAGGAAGAACATGTGTTGGTGTGGCAGGATTAAAAACAGCACATTTTTTTATTTATTTTATATGGTCCCCATCTCAAGTACATGACTCTGGGCGGCTAACAATATCTAAAAACAATATAATAAAATAAATAACATAAATAGCAACCAAGAAAAACAACCCACCCCAGCACTAATAATCATAACAGTTAACACAACCAAGAAACGGGCTGAACTACACCATCGGGGCTCCAGGCTCAATTACAGAATCAGGCCTTTAAGGTCTTGCAAAAGGCTAGCAGGGTCAGGGCAAGTCTGATCTCTGGGGGGATGATGTTCCAGCAGTTGGCCCCCACAACAGAAAAGGTTCCCTTCCTGTTAGCCTTGTGAGGTAATCCAGACAAGAAGTACAACCAGGAGTACTAGCTCTATCTTTATAGTATGGTCACATTAAGATAATCTTGCCTTTCCTTTTACTCTCTGGAAAAGTAGGGAGGGTCCCTCCTGAAAACACTTCCACATACCCTTCTTTCCTTCTGGGGACTGAGAAATCTCTTACATGCTGGTTGTCCAGTCTGTGGCTCTCCCTTCTGTCTCCCAAGGTCATTCCCTCATACCGTTACATTTCCTGGGTCCCACCAGATGGCACTTCCTAGTAAATGGGACCTGGAGCATGCTTCTCTTGCTGGATCTAATGGGATGGGTAGATACAACTGGGGAGAGATGGTTCCATAAGTAATCCAGTCCCAAGCCATGAAGGGCCCTAAGGGTAACCACCGGCACCTTGAATTGTACTTGGAAACATCTTGGCAACCTCTGCGGCTTGCAGAGCAGAGGAATCATATCTGGTACCACTGCATTTTGTACCAGCTGAAGCCTCAGGCAAAAAAAAATAATAAATCCAAACAGTAGCCTCCACTCTCAAGAACAATATAACAACAAATAGATATCAATTTTCAATGTGTCAGTGGTGTTCAAAATAAGTTTTTAATGCTGTTTGTCTAACACGACTAGCATTTGGAGGACACAAGTTCCCCAGTTTAAGTTTCCATAAGTTACATCTTCATTATTTGACCCATATGAGTCAATGGTTGTAGGTTTCAAACTTGTCATGCATGAGCTTCATGTCTTAGCTCACAAATTGTTCTGTAGACTCTTCACATCTGAATCCTACTACTTGTACCATCTTCATTTAATGCACAGATGAAAAATAATACAAATAGCAACAAGGAGCAAAGAGAGAGGCTTTTAGCCGTCTATTAACTGTAATAAAGTGGGGTCCTGCCTCAGTTCCAATGTCATTTGTCCTATAGTAAAGGCCCCATTATAGAAAAATCAGAATTATTAGAAGTATCTGAGCAAGACCTGCAAAAGATGCTCAGTTGAAAACTGGATGTGGAGTGGCCAGTCCTGAAGATAACTTGGGCCTAAGCTATTTAAGGCTATATGCAACAAAACGAACACACTGAGTTGTGGTATGAATTTAGTATAATGGTTTCATCAAGTGGAAATGTGGTCTGTTCAACAGCTGCTACTCTCAACCTGTGCTGCTGCTTTCTCAACTAGCTGCAATTTCCAGACAACTTCAAAGGCTGCTCCATGAAAAGTGCATTGTAATAACCTAACCTGAAGCTTGTTTTAACTCCTGAACACTAGTTTTCCTATGTTTCCTAACATAAAATGTAGAAAATCCTACTGCCAATTTTCGGCAATTATGTCATTGAAATTTCATGAAACATTTTGAGGAGGTCCCAGGGGATACAAAGGGATTGGGGGTCACAAGCTGCCACCCATGAGCACTCAGCTAAGAGCCTGACAGTATAGTAACATTTCCTAGGAAGTACAAAGCATCAGAGTTTCAGGTTTCTTGTCCACTTGGGCAATCACTCCCTGACTTTTAGTGCTAAAATATGTAGACAAGCATCTACTAGAAGGTTTTGAGCAACATTCCAAACAGGTGGTCATCCTGAAACTCATTCCATTACATGTACACTAAGCAATGAAAGAAAAAGGTATACATCTGAAATGACATGAATAAGTCTTACTGCTTTACAAGGTACTCTCTAGCTTGGCCTATCAGTCTCCTTGTCATGGAGGAAGCCATCCAATTTATCATTTGCTGAAGACCTGTCCTCATGATGCAGTCCCATTTCATCACCAACCTAAAGCTGGCCTTAGGTGTTCTGGCATGAAAGGAGTGTTTTTCCTCTCACACTGCCACCAGACTTCCCATCCAGACAATTGACAGTACATGAAGTCATCTTCAGAGGTTGACAATCTGCTGGCCTCCAATTGGTCTACTATAGAACTTCCCTCACCCATCAGGCTGTTGAGTTCTGTGCTTCCATGATCACTGTGGCTTGGTTACCAGAGAGACTGGATACTTCCCTTGTACAGATATTCCCTTCCTTTTTTGTGTGGTTTGGTCAAGGGAATATTGACCTACTGGAAGATTGAATTCCATGAGGTTGATATTCCCATTGGTAAACAGAAAACAGAACTATGCCCAGAAATTCTTATTTAACCTATACAATTGTAGCATAAAAATGTTGGTTACTTTAGCTAAGGTGAAATATTTGTCTGGCAGCAATAAATTGACTTTTTCATTCAATTTATGGTTTTCATTTGGATGATGGAAACCAAGGAAAGAAAGACTGGTGGGGCATGGGGAGAAAGAAAAAGAGAGGCTGGGAGAAAAGTCCTGTATTGCCACTCATGTCCTTAAGGTGATGTTACTGATTCACATAAGTAGTTTAGAGGGAGCTCGTTCTCTATCTTCATTTCTAATTTCCAATTTTCCAAGAAGAGCAGGAAGGAAAAAGGATACAGAAGAGAAACACCAAATCCATATATGGCAGACAGTCCCCCCTGAGTGAGCAAAAAATACCAGGGCATTAGCCTTCTCCAGTGGGGTCATGGAGTAGGTAGGGGAGCTTGAAATCATAGAATGTTCTTTTCAGAGTTCTAGATACAGAAATATTGATCTGTCCAGAACTTTTTAGAAAGCCATCCCTCTCTCTCATTCAGAGAAGTGATTGGTGGTGATGCAAAGAGGGAGGGGAACAGAACAACAGGGAACCCATCAGTTGCTACCTGAAAACTTTCCCATGTTCAGCTGTGTCCAGGCTGATCAGTTTCACTACTGAGATACAGTAAAGGTAGCTTGAGGAGGCGCTGCTTTCAATATTGACCTATTTTCCTCCCCTCATTGGCATTGCTGTATGAATGAGCCCTCTCACTTTTTGCCCCAAGGCAAAGTTGTATATTTGCCCTTTCTTGCCATATCCCAGTATAATTCCATTGATTTAATCTTGGTTGCTTGCCCCTATAAAAATCTTTATAGTTAAAAAAGATTTTATATGTAAAAGCCAAGATTCTCTAGGATCAGTCTATCTATCCGTCCATCCATCCATCCATCCATCCTTAGCATTCATGTGCCACTCTTCAAAAACAGGTTTTCCCAGACTAGCTTATGGAAAAACTACATGATTTAGAGAATGGGAGATGTACAACTTGACACACTAGCTTTAGCTGGTAGAATCCATTTTTAGAACTCATAGATTAATTATGTTCTATTCCAAAAGGCAGACACAAACCAGTTTAATTTTCAGATTCCGTGGGGGGGGAAGTCCATTTCTTTCAGCTAACAGTGGGATCTGGCATTCTGGAATATTTCAAGCCAGTTACACAACTGTCCAAACTTTTGCATTCTTCTTTACAACATTCCAGATATCTGCATTCTTGCTGGAGTACAAAGTTACTTAAGAGTTGACTCTCCCATTCTTTCTTTAGGGGCTTCAGTGTGACATCTGGGGGACAAACACGGATCTTTAAGCCCATCTCTGTCCAGACCATGTGGTGAGCAAGGCTGTTGATTGGATGAACAATGTTAAAGACATCCATAGAAGATGATAAATGAATATCAGAAAAGATACTGAAGCTATTGTTGTGCCCCTCATGCTGTGAAGAAAAGAAAGTTCTGTTGCATTTTTCTAATGGTGGCAATAGCTTCCAAAGGGTTTAAAATGTAAAAGAAAGCTTTGGAGTTCTTTTATTAGCTGTTTATTTTTAAATTTTTTGAATATAGGTTATTTTATGGTGCTTATAAAGCATTGCAAATATATTCAGCTGTCCTGTAGTCAATAACTATCTGCAAAATGAAAGGATGGGGCTAACTGCTACAGGTTATGGTAGCTCTGTTTAATTCTTGGACGTGACCTCTTCTGCTCTGAATGCTTCAGGTACTACTTAACATTCTCAGGTCTAATTGCTCTCTCTGCTCTCAGGTCAGCACTGCAAGTGCTGCACAAAGCGTGCAGCGAAGCGGTCTGCAACAACTATTTTCCTGGAGGGGGTGCATTGAGCTGGACCGAGTGGTATCAGAAGGCTGTGAATTCTGACCAGAGCTGCATTAATGAGTGGCTAGCCATGTCTGACCTGGAATCTGTGCGGCCCACTTCTCCCTCCGTCGTCTTTGACCAGTCAGTGATGCCCCTTTTCCCCCCTGGGGCTGTTTGTAGGCTGTCAGTGGACCTGTGAGGGTTCCTAGAAGGAGCTCCACATAGTATGCTAATCCCAAACCCAGAGAACTTTGGACAATCTTGCTAGTCAGTCTAGTGCCAACTGTGCCCCATTCTTGAGTCCCGCCTCTGCAGTCCAGCCCAATAACCTAGACTGGAAGATTGCAATGGGAGTGGGGGATGCTGATCAAATCCCATTATTAACCCTGTGACTTTTTTTTAGGCCTAAAGGAATAAATCTCTGTAAGGAAATGCTAAGGCTCAGGATAGTATTAGATTGATACCCTGGCAGCTGAGGAATATATGGTGGTGGGACTGGGTCTCTGTGTGGGAAACCTGAGATGATGGTGTTGGGGACAGAGTCTGGTGGGCCGAGAGCTTTGCCGACCCTCCATCTCTGTGCCTCAGGCCGACAGCACAGGAGATGACAGAGCGGATGATCCGGGCCAAGCTGCGTGAGGTGATGGGCACCACTGACCTGGAGAGCATCACCTCCAAGGAGGTGGGATGTTGGGACAGGAGGGCATTGGAATAGGAGGTGATGGGGGTGCGGGGGAAAACAGGAATGGCAAAGTGTGTGAAGAGACGGGACTATGGGAACAAGAAACATAACAGCTCTTAATAGAAACAAGGAAGGAAAAGGATTGGGGAGGATCTGGGAAGCTGGGATCTGTATGACAGGATATTGGGTAGAGGGGTGTGATTAGGAAGAAGCCCAGGTGAAAGATAATATCAGTCATCTTCTTCCACAGATCCGTACAGAACTGGAGCAGCGAGTTGGCTGCAGCCTGAATGACTACAAGGAGTTTATTGACAATGAAATGTTGCTTATCATGGCACAGATGGATCGGCCTTCTAAGATCTTTGACTACCTCTACTTGGTAAGAAGATACAACAGGGAAATCCTGATGCCAGCCTTCTAGTGATCAAGGGTCCCAAAGATTACAATCAGTGCCTCTTGACTGGTGATATAGAGGGAATAGGGAACAGCCTTGAAGGACAGGAGGAAAGCTACCTACCAAGGCAATGATCAGACAACCACAGCCTAACTATTACTAACATTTAGTCTAGTAGCTATGTAGAAATTTGTGTTACTTATAAGTAACACAATTTTTTCCTCCCGAAGATTACTGCGCTCTTGGACTGAAATTAAGACAAGTTTTATGCCTGTCCTCAGTCTTGAAGTAAGAGAGCCAGTTTAGTGTACTGGTTAAGGTGTTGGCCTAGAAACCAGGAGATTGTGAGTTCTAGTCCCACCTTAGGCATGAAAAACCACCTGAGTGATTTTGGGCCAGTCATTTTCTCTCAGCCCAACTCACCTCACAGGGTTGTTGTTGTAGGGAAAATAGGAAAAGGAAGGAGTATTGGTAGGTTTGCTGCCTTGAGTTGTATATGAAAAAAAAGGGATAAAAATCTAAAAAAAAAGTTCCCTCTGCCCCCTACCATAGCTGTAGCTGAGCTCTACGTATTCTGTTCTCTGCTACTTATTGTAGCAGAGCTGAAGACTTTAATAGCTGGGAAACAGGAGAAGACAATTGGACTATAATACAGTGGTACCTCGGGATACGAACGCCTCTACTAATGAACTTTTCGGGTTACAAGCTCCGGCCGCAAAAATTTACCTCGATGTGTGAACTCCGGCTCGGGGTACGGTCATTTTTCCACCCTGACACGTGGTCCGCGGCCATTTTTCCGCCCCTGACACGTGGTCCATGGCCGTTTTCCCGCCGCGCCCCTGACACGTGGTCCGTGGCCGTTCTCCCGCCACGCCGCACCCGGCCGTTCTCGCGCCGCGCCCGGCTGTTCTCCCGCCCCTGACGCATGGTCCGCGGACGCCAGAACGGATTAATGGTAATTACAATGAACCTTATGGGAAAATTTGCTTCGGGGTGCGACCAAATTCGAAGGGCGGAACAGATTAACCGGATTTACATTGAACCTATGGGGAAATTTGGGTCAGGTTACGATCAACTCGGGATATGCCCAGAGTCACGGAACGCATTAAGTTCATATCCCGAGGTACCACTGTAATATAAATGCTGTGGCATATCCAGATCGTGAAGGAGATTCAGATCCTGGCCTCCTAAATACTCTCCTCAACTATTCACAGGTACCCTTATCAAAAGTCTGAAAAGGTCTCTGCCTTAAGTAGTTGAGGAATCAGCTGGGTTCAAAAAATGAAAGCTATCCAGTTTCTTTGTTCTGTTCTCTTTAATAAATCTCATTAAAAGAAATCCAGAGATAATACTGTTTTCGGTTGAAGTGGGCTGCTGAAAGCTTGACAGTGAAAGGGAAAAGTTGGGATCTGTTTAATCTGTGATGGGGCTGCCTCTGGGGAAATTGGAAACTGCTTCATCTGGGACAAAGCTGGGTATGATCGCCTTACTCAGTACACTCTGTGTGTACACCCCATTGAACTCAGCGGGTCTCACTTCTGAGAATACATACGTAGGACTGCATTGGTAGATGCTATAATTATTTCACGATGACACATAACATACAAATGAGGACTGTGCATGCTTCAAAAATGACTCAGAAGAGGTGCTTTGAACCATGTGGAAGTGGAGTGCAGAATCTTTTTAAAGCAGTTGTATCTTTCAGTTTTCTACATTAATCTTAAAAATGCAAAATGGATGCAAAAGTTGATGTATTAAAACAACTGCTTCTTTAGTGTGGCTTTTTAAAGCAGTAGCATGTGTTTTCAGGCTTGCGTGGAATCTGTAAAAAGATATCTCTGCTTTAAAGAAGTGTTTTCCGAATCATTTTCAAAACATGCATGCACACGCCCACTTCAACAAAATGGCAGTTGTAGATGGCTTGAATGCATTTTAGGTGGATTACCAGTGAATAAGTGATCTCCAAAATGCAGAGTTTATACTGGTTAGCAAATTACTCCCTGCACATTTTCTTTAAATAGAACTTAAGGGGGCTTTGTGACATTTTTCTACCTATAGTTTCTCATATGGGATAGCATGAAAAAATGTACTTTCTTCTATCCTGAAATGGTACAGAGCAGGAGGGCTTATTCCACTGACTTTGCTTAATGCATAGTTAAGTTCTGAGCGGGCCGCTGTAACAAGTCCAGAATGCACATAAATTTGTTAATGGTTGAGACAACATGAGAGTGAACTGTGCGCCTGGTATTGTTCCTTTCCACTCCAGGGCTCTGAATGGAATGCAGCCAACCTTGAGGAGCTGCAAAAGAACAGGTAGGTAATCTTTTAAAGATGTTGCTCAGAAAACAATGCTAGCCATTCCAGGAAGTTTATCCTTGGACTTTGAGATAGCTATTTACCACGTGTCTCAGTTGTTTTCCAGTTGGAAGTACTTTCAGCTCTTGGTTTAAATTCCATCCTGGGATACCAAGGAATTGTAGGGACATTTAGGGCTGGGTAAATTGGGGTGGAAGAAACTCTGCTAAAATTAGATAGATAGCAGTGGTTAACAGTCTTCATGTGAGGGTGGAGTGGGAAAGCTCACTTGATTTCTTCCCTGTCTTTAGAGTCAGCCATATCCTCAACGTGACTCGTGAGATTGACAACTTCTTCCCAGAGCATTTCACTTACATGAATGTGCGTATCTATGATGAAGAGGCCTCGCAACTACTGCCATACTGGAAGGAGACCTACAGCTTCATTTCAGCTGCTCGGTGAGACTGGGCATCAAGATGAACGTCGTACATGAATGTGGCTGAACTAGCATGCATTGTAAAGAGTTTAATTTTTGTCATCATAGTAACATAACATAACTATCTGTGCCTATGGAACTCAACCAAAAAGCCAGAAGTTCTTTCATTTCTGGGTGTTGCAGTAGCCGTGCTTATGGCCACAATTCTTCCTCACAGGATTCAAGGCTCTCGGGTCCTGGTGCACTGCAAAATGGGAGTGAGCCGTTCTGGCTCCACAGTGATTGCCTATGCCATGAAGGAACATGGTTGGTCCCTGGAACAGGCCCTTGGTCATGTGCAAGAACAGCGACCAATTGTGCACCCCAATCCAGGCTTCATGAGACAGCTGGAACTTTACCAGGGCATTCTGGATGCCAGGTAATGATAAAGGAAAAGGACATTATTGGTGGGCCAGTATATGTGTAAGAGGACAAAGGATGTGGAAAGATGTCCAGTTGCCTGATCCATGCTTTCCATTAAAATCAGTTCTCCCGTACTAGCCCGTTTATAGGCAGACCTGCACAACAATAGCCTGACAGCCTTTTGGAATGGAAAATGTGCCTGAACAGGGCCTTATGAATAGGGTGCTGATTCTTCTGTTCCCTCCCATTTGTGTGGATTATGTGGAAGATTCAGTGGGGAGCAACTAAAGGGGGTACTTTTGGAGTAAGCAGTCAAATAGTGGTAGGTTTATTTTACAGTTATACCCTGTGACTTCATTATAACTTCATATAGTACTTAATTCTTTTTGAAAGATAGTAAGGGATTCCTTACTCACCTGTCATTGCCAATCTGCTACACACAGAAGGAAACCTGTTACTTTTTGCATCCCAGAATGTCATATTTCTCTCATGTCTCGATGCAGCCGTCACAGCAGCCTGTGGGAACAAAAGGCGGGAGATGCCCCATCAGGAGGCTTTTCTGATATAAGTGATGCCAGCAGTGATCATTCTGGAAGCCTGGAGTATGAGACTCTGAGCTCAGATGAAGAGCCAGAGGCGCCAGTAACAACTCCCCAGTATTGCTTTCGTCCTTTGCACGAGCCTTCCGAAAATCTCGGCCATCCTCTGCCCCCAGCTGGCAGCCCCCAGCTCAATTCTCAGGGAACAGAAGAACCCGGGGCATCAGATGATTCAGGAGCTGAGGAGGTGCGGAAACATCTGGCTACCATGAAAGTACCTGAGAAGCCGGCCCTACTCCGACGGGAACGCATTAACCTTTATGCAATTATGCGCAGCATCAGTGAGATGGATAGCCCAGAACACATCTCTGTGACAGAGGGCATGCCTGAGGAAGAGGTATGGGATTGTGCAAAGGTGTCTGAGGAGGAGTGAATGGAGAGCAGAAGGGAAAAGCTGTTTACAACCTAGAATGCAATAAGGGAGTAAAAAATGCCAATGCATATTTGTTTATTTAAAACATAATGCTTTCCATTAAAAGAAATCTTGAAGTGGTTTACAATTAGAAATACAATTACACCAAAAAATAGTAGGGTAAAACAATGAATAAAAACATACTTAGCATCCTGTCCAAGAAGATGGTGTTGGCCACAACAGGTGGTCCTTGATTAATGACCATTTGTTCAGCAACCATTCGGAGTTACAACTTGAATGAAGAGACTTCCGGCCGGTCCTCAAAGTTTCAGCCATCGCAGCATCCCCATAGTCCTGTGATCACCATTTGTGACCTTCTCTGTTGGCTTCCAACAACCAAAAATCAGTGGGGAAACTGGCAGGAGGTTGCAAATGGTGATCACGTGACATTATGCCTAATGACTGTGCAGGATTTGCCTAAACACAGCAAGTGGAACTGCCGGCCTGCCATCATAAGTCAGCATGGTCACATGACATTACACTTTACGACCACGTTGCATAGCGACAGAGTTCCCAGTCCTAATTACCGTCATGAACCAAGGACTACCTGTATATACCACTGATGTTGGTATATAGATCTTCTGAGTCCAATTTTTTTTTCCAAGAGTGGTATCTCTATAGACTCCTCCTAAAAGAGAAATGTGTAATCTCCCAAACTCAGCTGAACACCCTTTTGTATTAAAACTAATAAGACATGAGACACAATTCAAACAAACATGAGCTTGGCCTCACTTGAGCAAGCACCTTGTCAGGAGTTAAAATTAAATTCATCCCCCAAAATCTGAAAGACTAGGCCTAGGTTCTTCTATAGATTGGACTGTCAAAATTAGAATCTAAGTAATGAATTTGATTGATTGCATCATAGGAGGGTCTCCTACCAAGGATTGTATCTGCATAAATCAGAGTAGGTGACATTTCTGGGGCAGAGAGTTATATTCACTGTAATAAGGCATGTCGGGGAAAAGATTAGAGCCAGAAGAATGAAGGGGACAGCCAGACCTAAAATGCTAAGTATAAAATTATTCAACTAGATGCTTCTAAGACAGAATAAAAGCATGCAAGTCTTAGCAGCAGCACACAGCCATACACACTTCATTGTTGCCCAATGTTTTGTTCTTAAAATGAAACTGTTCCAAACCAGTTACATAGAAATGTTAACCAAGAGCAATGGAATATGGAAGCTGAAGTGACAGAGAAAAGCCAAGGTAAATAAAAGAGAATCCAGTAGAGTTGGTGATGTGCAAATCAGTGAACTCTTTCTCTCCCAGCAGGTATTTCTTCATACCGAAAGGAAGACCTGTGAACCATCATCCCAAAGTGAGGAAAATGAAAGGCCGGTAACAGATTCTACAACAAAGTCATCCCTGCCAGGGGATCGGCGGGCACGTGGACGGAGGCCAGGGCGACGGGGACGTAGCAGGGCTTCCAGAGGCCATGCTCAGCCTTGCAAGCAGCTCTCCTACCACCCAGCACCAGGCAAGGTGCATAAAGCTGTTCGGCACATGGAGGGGTCTGTCTCATTTGGGCGCAAGCCCCCTTTGCAGCATCGCCTCTCAGTGGCTCAGCTGGCTGATGCTGCCCTGGTGGTGAGTCGGACCAAGGAGTTTGAGGGACAGATGGATCCTGAAATTTCCAAGAACCTCCAATCGCCATCTTCCTTGCCATGCTCCAGGACTCGACGGGTTGTGCGCCAGGCCAGCGTTGACATGGACCCCAGCTCAGTCTGAAGACCTTTTCTCTGCCTTTCCCCCTTTCTACTGTCAGTAAGCAAAGGATTTCATGGAGTCCCAAGGCTGAACACACATTAGTGAGATCTAGCCTGGGGAGATGTATTTCCTGTACACTGCCCAGGAGGAAGAGTGAGGAGGAGAGGACAGTTCTGCTCCTCAAGAGCCCACAGCTGCTTTCCAAGTGCATCTGTTCTTCTTTCTCTGGGAAATGGCAGCATGGGTGGGGAGAGGACCAGCGTTCTTACTGGGTTTACTTCATTTATTTGTTACAGACCTAAGGGCCCTGCAGACCTCACGGTTTTAAGTTCCATATGGCAGGGCTGTGTTTGTTCCTTTAATTCGCTTTGAATGGCTTCATATTCTATTCTTCTCCAATCTGATATTTTCCAGATGGTTTGGACTGGAATTCTGGTCATCCCCATCCAGCACAATGGTGGAAGTTGTAGTCAAACAGACCTGAAGCCTTCAGATGGGCCAAAGGTTGCTTTACAGAGAAGGTTTAAGACTGTAACCTCTCACTGTGATCCAAGTGGGGAATGAACTGCTTTCTCTTTATTTTTGTGTACTTACCGTCACTGTGCCACTGCCAGCTTCACACAGCCTGAAAATAAAGTTAATTCATTTTCCACTTGGTAAACTCAGGTTGTATGTCTTCGTTTGAAGCATATCTCTGTTCTTAATCCTAGCCAAACCCTAACCAAAGTAACAGGGGAAGAGGACAGCTTTTCTTCCTCGAGGTAATGCTACCCAGTCCAGGGGCTCTGTCAACTGACAAAAACTAGCTGGGCTGCTCTTGGTTTTTCTACTGGGATTGGGTTCATACCTCATGCTAAGCCATGCTTTGTCTCGTTTGGCTTTACCTGATGTGTGACCCCCATCCCCACCACTATGGTTTGTAAATCATAATATATGGCTTGGCATGTTGTACAACCCAGGCAGTTATGGTTTGTTCAAGAAATCATGGTTAAAACAAACCATGGCTGGGCACAATGCATGAATTCAGTCTGGGAGTGAAAGCACAACCCATGGGACAAACAGCAACAAAAGCATCCCACAGTGATTACCTGGCTTCTTCACAGCAGTTAGTGAGATAACGCCCATGATCATTAGTGACGCAAAGCTGTTCAGGCCTGGCTCGCTACGTGATCAAAGTTTACAGTAACTGGACCTGTTAATTACGCTTACCTCACCCACTATCAGTAGTGAGGAGCTCAAGGAAGAAGTGGTTTCATTGTACCTATAATGAATGAAAATGAAATAAAACATCTGTGGAGGAAAAAAAAATAAACCACATTTATACCTGCGCTCCATTGCTGTAACTTCAGCCTAGAACACAACGTGCTTTGGAATCTAGTCCTGACTTCACTGTTGGGTTGACATCCTCTCATGGCTAATGATAAGTGCAGACACACACATTCGTAATCAACTTCATTGCCAAAGTGGAGAACGTCCCAGTATAAGTTGCAGGCAATACACTTCCAAGGAGAAACATCAGCTGTCCACAGAAAGCAGGGGAGGATTAGTGGCAGGGCATTTATTCAGAAGCAAAAATAGGCATCAGTTGACAGTTCTTTATTTATTTATTATTAATAAATATATTTGTTGTTATTCAGCTCTTATTTCATATAAATCACATTTACCGATTGTTTCAAATGCTTTACAAGTTGTTATTCCACTGCCATTGGAAATTATTAGGGAGGGTGGTTGTGTTTAACGGCCTATGGTTTATGATAGTTCTGCAATGTGATTTGCTGTTTGTGTTACAGTGGGGTAGAGGCTGTTTTCAATTCCAAGAATTAACCAGATGAAATATAATTCAGGCTACTTTGATTATCCCACTGTTTGCCTAGATACTGTAGTCGGTTATTGTTATATTTTTATTCCACCTGTTATTTTTTTTCATATATATATCTCCCACTGTTTGCCTAGATGCAGTATTCAGTTATTATTAGATTTTTATCCCACCTTTTATTTTTCATATATATCTAATACTCCTGCCACCTATTTTCCCTACAACAACAACAACCCTGTGAGGTGGGTTGGGCTGAAAGAGAGTGGCCCGAAGTCACGCAGCTGGCTTTCTGTGTTTTATTAATTTGCGTGTATAAGCGTTACATCATTAAATGTACTTCCTCTTTAAAACTGCAGAGAGATTTTGATAATTGACGTATAATAAGTTTAATAAACATTTTAAAAGTTTAAAAGTTTTCGCTTGATCCCTTCGCAAATAGACAGACGTAGAATTCGTGCCGCGAGGTTTGCCCTCTGGAGGAAAGTTGAAACAACTACAATAACCGTCATGCTCTGCGTCTGAGGAGGGATACATGCGCAGAACGCCTTTTCCTTGTTGCTATGGGAGCCTGCTGTAGGGCCGGACTTCGCTAGGGTCCTCTCTTTTTGTTCCCCCGCGTTCTGGCAGCCGAAGCTCCCCGCTCCAGTTCGAGGGATCCCTTGTTGCCATGGTGACGGTAGCGTTATTCTGGACTTGCTAGCGATGTTCTCAGTTGAGCCGGACGGGGAGGGGTGCAGCCGGGGCAGCAACGATGTCCCGTTCCCAAATAATCCACAGTGGCCACTTCATGGTCTCGGAACCCCACGCCGAGTCGGATCCCGATCCGGATCCGGGTTCCGAAGCGGCCCTAAGCTCGACCGACCAAGCCGTCCGTTTAGGCCTGGAGAGCTGCGCGGCCGAGCGACTGAGAGGGACCGGGGCGGTGGGGAAGGCCGTGGCCGGGAAGGCAGAGGGTGCGGCCCAGCATGGTTTTAGGGGTCCCTACGACTTCGACACAGTGAGTGAAGGCACCTGTCAGATCTACCGCTACGGGCCGCGGAGCAGCGGCGCGCTCAACATCGACGCCTCCCTCACGAAGCTGTTCGAGTGCATGACGCTGGCCTACAGGTGAGGAGGGAAGGGGGTCAGGTCGCAGGGTGAGGCGAAAAGGACGGAGGGAGGTGGTGGGTCCTCGCCGCGGTTCGTGCCGCAGAAGACACGCAGGCCAGAAAGTGCCAAGAAGACTGTGGTGCAACGAAGGTGGATTGCTACACAGCTCCCGAAAACAACATCTGAATCTTCAAGAGCTTTGAGGTGTTTCACAAGATACATCCCTTCCGAGTTCCTTAGATGTGTACCCTAATTTGATACAATATAATTTGAAACATGAGTTCTAAACAAAATGTGTCATTCTCTTTCAGGCTGTGTTAAAACCCTGGAGTTAAAGGGACTCTTCCATTGCTTTTTCCCCACACTAGAACCTGAGCACAATTACATCAGAGAGCTCAAAGTCATCTGTATGATGATAGAGTAGTACAGAACCAAGTAGATGTTTCACAAATGGAAATAAGGGCTCTTAGAAGCAATATTAAGAGTTAAAGCAAAGGTGTGACCTGTTCTGAATTGCTTCAAAAATTATGAGAAGCAGAAAAGTGATTTTGTAATGTGCCATTCGGATTAAACTTGAGGGCAAAAAAAGTATTTATATGTTTAAGAAAAGAAACTTATTTATCACTCAATAGCTTTGTTGAAAGCTTGATCTGTTATATGCCTGAGCTTGCTGGATAAATCTGGTAGTATGAGCCTATATGCCCGGTTGATAACATAGCTTTTATAGTTGCCCTGCATAACAGAGTATTATTTATTGCAAAGCTATTCATTATTGGCCTGCCAGCTGAGCCTTAGATTGGAGTTCTTCATTCTTAGACTAGATTAATTTGGATCAAAGAGCTGTTGGGGAGAGAAGGAAAAAAAGGGATTTTGAATACTTCAGTACAAGGCTTTTATTGTGCATTCATTTTTGTCCCTTTCATAATGTTTTATGGGAAAAGGGGAGGCAGCAGCCTCTTCCACTTTCAACTCCCCTCTTATCTCCCTGCCATTTAGTCCATGTTTTTCTTAGTACCAAAAAAAAAGAAAAAATGTTGAAAAAAGAGAAATACACTTTTGTTATATCACAATATCTTTTGATCAGCAATTCTAGAAGACCTTTGGCTAGAAGCACCCATAAACCGAATTTGGAAACATCCAAGGACAAAAATCTGTCCTTTGTTTTTGGAACAGTCACTCAGTAAATTAGTTGCCAGATTTGAAGTGTTTTAGGTCAGGGTACATTATACTGGGCACATGAATCTTCACATTGGTGGTGTGTGCTCTTTCACATGACTTTCAGAAAGACAGGATATCAGATTGTGTTGCTGTTGATCAGTCAGTGGTGTTCAGACCACTAGCTTCATCTTCAGTTCCAGCAGTAAGTTTTTGGAAGGCACAATGATTTTAGTGAGATGAAATGGTTGGAATGTAATAATCTATTCAACTACTAAAAAGTTTTCAACATATTACTGTTTAAGATTTTTTTTTTAATTGGAAAGAAATACTTCTTTCATTTGGATACCACTGATGACAAATCACAAATTATTCAGGTGTATGTGTTTTTGGATGTTCTTGTGGTATAGTCTGCCAAATATTAGTTTTTTGTCTAGAAGTAGTCCGTTATTCACTATTTTACACCTGGAGTTCTACAACAGCAGTTAGTGGTAACATTAAAAATTACGCTTTCAGTAAGAAATTGAAAGCATTTTCCTCATATTGCCACTACTAGCTAAAGCTAAGATAGACATAGATATACATACATAAACATTATTATATACTGGCTACATGGTATTCTACAGAGATGCTAGAATGTATCATGTAATTTGCTGAAAAGAAAGTGTATGATGCATTGTTGTTATTGTTCTGAGGTCAGTAGTACAGTAGTCACAAAGTTTGCTCTGAGAATAGAGTTTTTGAAACTAGCATAGTTGCTTATAGTTAATAGTCTGCACATGTTTTTCTGCATGAATTACTCTGCTGTTGCACGCCTGTTCATCCATTTCCTAAAATCCAAAGGGGAAGGGAAACCAGAGATCAGCTACTAGGTTTCAAAGAAACCTTGCACATTAGCCAATCTTTGCAAAAGATAAATAATTGCATATATTTTATTACTTTATTTTGAATTCCCTTATTTTCTTCTTTTATTGGCACAGAGTAGGAATATTTGTGTCTATATTGTCAAATCTTTGAGGTAGTATTCCTGTTCATTATGCTTTCTTACTTATTTTTGGCTGTGACTTATTTAATGTTTCCTTGATCCAGACATACTTGATATTATAGAGGTTTCTTTGGGTTCTTTTTATGTTTAGTGGGAAAATTGTATCTCCGAAATGGAAAACCTTCAAGGGGCTGAAATTGCTGCAGCGTGACAAGATTCGGCTCAATAATGCTATCTGGAGGGCGTGGTATCTACAGTGTGAGTAGCTTGGAACAGGGTAAATTCAGAGGTTTATTCCCAAGACATCTCCTTTCCATAAGGAAGTCTACGTTCTTGATGAATTCTGCAGCCAAATACTATTTTCTATGCAGTGTTATGAGCTGCAAGCAATAGTGTGTACTGCTAAGCATTAAATATTCTGTTCTCTTTGGTAGTAAAGCCCATGAACATTGCCTTCCTGTTCATGAATGCTTGTTGACTTTCGGCCAGTCAACAAGTACATTTGTTTGCCTCTGAAGTGGCAGTAGCATTCAGGAATCTCTTTCTGTTTCATTTTGGACACAGATGTGGAGAAGAGGCAGAATCCTGTGTGCAGTTTTGTGACTCCTCTAGAGTGTAGTGACATAGATCAGCATCGCAAGCCTGAGGTGAGCAAGGCTTTTATGGCACAAAGAGATACCAGAGTCTATTTCTTTATCTTTAACTTCTTTATCTTTATTTATTTGGTAGGCTGTCATCATGGAAGGAAAATACTGGAAACGCCAGATTGGGGTTGTTATTAGGGAATATCATAAATGGAGGACATTCTTCCATATTCGGGTAAGTTTCTTCTCAAGCAAGTACTGTAAGGCTTTATGGATGGCATATGATATCAGTGAGATAAAATAGTTGGAATACAATACTATATGTAAACCTTTCATCCTCAGATGACATTTTTTATCTTGCTGTCCTCTTTCAGTTATTTCAGTGGCAGCCAAGAGACTAATTCTGTCCTAAAATAATTTAGCCCTCTGTACATATTCACCCTGCATGTACAAGAATTAAAATATGATGAGGACAAAAGGGCACTACCAACACTTCCCATACATGCAAATGCCTCTACAGATTTTTTGCACATCTAGTACCAGCATTTGTAGGGATTTTGTAAAGTATGTTCGGCGAGCATTCTTAGTAGCCTTTCATAATCAGTAAATTTCGTTATCACAGTTCCCAGTCATGGGACCTAGTATTAGATTTACCAGTTGATTATTCTTTTATCTGAGTCGGTCAGGTACCTCAGACCACAGACTTGCCCTCCATCTGTAGTAACTCATATTTTGACCTTTTCCCATTTGTATAAGACATACACTGATCATCTAGTTATATTTACAGTTGCTTTATGAGGCTTCACTAAGGCTTTGATTCTCTTGAATGAATAAGTTATAATTTCTTTTGCTAGAGGTTCTCTCAAAAATGTGTTCTAATCCAAACCATCCTGTCTTTTTATTTTAGGCCCAGAAGAAGTTTGACAAACCAATCTGTGATCCTAGTCAGGTGCTATTTTAATATTCAAAGGATTCCCTTTTCCTATTTCCTTCCCCCGTGGCAGAGTCTGAAGCTGGAATATTTGGAATAACAACCACTGAGCATTCCAGCCTTTCACTTCCCAATCCTTTGCTGGAACTTATGTTTTTTTTTCCTTCAATATTTTGTACAGGAGGTGTCTGATGCAGTTTCAGAGGTAGAACTCAACAATGAAACAGCAGGTGGAGGTCCTATGGAGCTTGATCCCTTACATGATCTGGATGCACTTCTGGACACCATCTTCTCCAGCCGCAACCCTTATGGTGGTCCCAACTTACGCGGTCTTGGTGAGAAGTCTCGCTTTGTGCTTATTACACCATGGTCTTGTAGTGAAATCTTTTCCTAATGCTCAAGTGCAGAGAGCTTTCCAAGGGCTTCCACATAGGAGTTAGTTACTGGCTTGCAAAGGCTGTGTGTGACTATATATGTTTATATTTATATATATATATACATACATATAAACATATCTATCTATCTTTCTCACAAGGAAGTGACTTTGGGCAGTTTACAATTTAGCTATATGCTATATGCTATTTAGCTGTAAAACAAAGTGGACAGTGAATTATATCACTCCTCATTTTATGTCTTCAGCTCACCAGGGTAATGCTGACATGATCCAGCCTACTCTGACCCAACTTCACCCCAACTTTGGAGAAGAATTTGTGAACACTTTGGACCCCATTCATGGTAACAGAAATTCCCCAATTTTATATAACTAAGTCGAAGTCTGTGGTCTGGTGGAGCATTTCCTAGACAAAATATCTACACTTGTAAATGAGTTTTGCGTAGTTTCTTAGAGTCACTTCATACACTGTGTTTCAAATATGTATCTATATCATACACATTTAAAAGTATCACATATATATTCCAAAAAGTATACAGCATGGAAATGTGTTGCCGGACTCCTCTGATCAGTTTCCATTCTTTAATGTATATTTCAGTGGGAAAATGTTTTCACAACCTGAAAATTCAAAGTATCTAAATCTCATGCACTAGAAGAAAATGAGATTACTGACTTATTTTCAAAAGCCTCAAATTAATCCCCAGATTCTGAAAGGTTGGTTTCTGACCTCAACAGTAAATAGTATCAGAGCTCTAGATCACTTACATTGGCTCGGGGGTATAGGTGAGCAGATACAGCCTAGTTCACATGAAGTAAGAATAGAGTTTTGCTCTGGAAAAAGCCTCTCTCCTGCTAGGATTCTACAAGTCTGCAAATCTGAAAATAATCTTTTTTGGCATCCTATATAATAATAGTGATTTCATTCTTTTAGTGCTGATGTTATTTTTGTAATATAATATCTATGCCCAAAGCTGAGGAATCAACAGGCTTGACAAAAACACTATGTTTTGCTGAATAAATAAAAAAATAACAGTTGGGAAGAAATCAGCTTATTGACTGAGTGGGGAGGAAGAAAACCAGGGAGAGTAGAAACTGAATGGGTTGTGCTAGAAAAGAGCACCATTGTCTAGCTTGAATCCCAGATAGGTGTATTTTATATTGCAGTATTTGAATCTAGTCCCACTTGATCCATCTATTTCTGCATAAGGGTTTTCATAGCTGGATTAATAAGTTAATAGAGAAATTGATTAAGTAGTATTTTTTGTAATTTTTCAAAAACATTCTACTAGCTACAGTGGGGCAAAAAAGTATTTAGTCAGCCACCAGTTGTGCAAGTTCTCACACTGTTGCTGGTATTTTGGCCCATTCCTCCATGCAGATCTCCTCTAGAGCAGTGATGTTTTGGGGCTGTCGCTGGGCAACACGGACTTTCAACTCCCTCCAAAGGTTTTCCATGGACACTGTTGCTGGTATTTTGGCCCATTCCTCCATGCAGATCTCCTCTAGAGCAGTGATGTTTTGGGGCTGTCGCTGGGCAACACGGACTTTCAACTCCCTCCAAAGGTTTTCCATGGACACTGTTGCTGGTATTTTGGCCCATTCCTCCATGCAGATCTCCTCTAGAGCAGTGATGTTTTGGGGCTGTCGCTGGGCAACACGGACTTTCAACTCCCTCCAAAGGTTTTCCATGGACACTGTTGCTGGTATTTTGGCCCATTCCTCCATGCAGATCTCCTCTAGAGCAGTGATGTTTTGGGGCTGTCGCTGGGCAACACGGACTTTCAACTCCCTCCAAAGGTTTTCCATGGACACTGTTGCTGGTATTTTGGCCCATTCCTCCATGCAGATCTCCTCTAGAGCAGTGATGTTTTGGGGCTGTCGCTGGGCAACACGGACTTTCAACTCCCTCCAAAGGTTTTCCATGGACACTGTTGCTGGTATTTTGGCCCATTCCTCCATGCAGATCTCCTCTAGAGCAGTGATGTTTTGGGGCTGTCGAGAACTTGCACAACTGGTGGCTGACTAAATACTTTTTTGCCCCACTGTAACTCATGCTGAAAACTGACATAAATGAAAGAAGCATTGAATATTCACTAGTTGAATCCTGGATGATAGCTATTGATCTAGTTAATATACATACTCCATCTTGTTCTAACCGTTGGTCCACAGTTTCTCAGGTGAATTGTGCTATACAGTATTCCAGTACTATGGTCCTGGAACCTAAATTGGTCTTTCCTTCTGTCTTTCTTTTTCTTTCAATTTGTTTTCTTACCTTTTTCGAGACTGTTTAAAAGGCTGCCTGGCCTTCATCTCCTTTCATCATTCATGATCTCTAGTCATTCAGCCTTGCTTCTTGCTCCATTTCTGTTCTGCCTCTTTGGTTGGTATTTGGATGGGAGACCACCAGGGAATACCGGAGCTGTAGACTAGACTGGAAGGTTGAAAAACATCCTGGAAGAAGGCATTGGTAAACCATTTTCATATTGCTGCCAAGTAAACAACATAGACCTGTCCATATAGTCACCAGGAATCAAGCTCAGCATGAGGATGACTTTACTTTTTATCTATTTCAACAAACAATATCAGAAAAGGTAACCTGAATAGATTTGTTTCCATCTACAATTCAAACCCTTTGCCAGTAATCTAAAATCTAATGCAAATCACTAGTGTCTACTCTATGGTGATTTGGAAAGAATCAGATTAGGATATAAAACTTCAGTTATGAAAATTGGTCCATTATTCATATTAAAGTTTAAAGATATTAATATGGTTACTATCAAATGTACTTGGAAGAAGATTAATACCTAGGTATATGAGAACTTGCATTCTGTAATCTGTTTAGTCCCTGCATACACATGCACGTGCACATGCACACACACAACTTAATATGTTGTCTCTCCATCCATGACAACTATTTTATGATGTGGTCAGGCAAAATTTACAAGCTGTCTTTTCTCTCATGTTCCAGCCATATATAGTCCATCTTCCTGTCCACGATTTTTAAAAAATATTACTAACTGGGATTTATAGTAATTAGTATCCAAATGGTTATTTGCTTAATTGGTTGAGCTTATCAGCCAGTTCTCTTTTTTTGTTACTCACTGTATCCTCCAAGTCATCTACCTTGCTTCTTTCTTTTCACAGAATTTATTACTTCTTGTCGTTCTCAGCCTACCTTCCAGGTAAGGAGAAGCTGTATATCCACTTGTTTATTACAGTAGCCATAATAAGCCTAGCACCCAGGTTTATATGTGTAAAGGGAGGATTATTGTTTTCTGTGGGAAGGCACTTATCTTACAGGGAATGGAAGCTGCAGTTTGAAAAGTATACCCCAGCCCACCCCCGATACTCAGATAACTGCTTTAATCCATTACTGATTTTCTGGATTATATTTCTCCGGTATATTCCTGTACAAGGCAGACTAAACCATCTAAAATCCATCTATAAAGATCGATATAATTATTTTTAATAATTATTTTTTATAGCCATTACATTTGCTACAAGTAATGCTCTGTGCCTGGATATGGATATAAATCAGAAGTTACTTTATCCCCCACTCCCTCCATCCCTCCCGCTTCCTTCCTTATGCAATAGTAAGAAAATAGAAGTTCTCCCGGTGCTGACAGACTTACATTTTTGCCTGTACAATAGCTGATGTTTCCTTATCCTTCCCTAGGTCCCTGCACTTCTGACAGATGCTACTGCCTTGGGCCAGGATGCCTCTGATTTGTCTCCTGTTGCCCCTCACGCCAAGGAACTCCCACCATTGGGAGACTCGCTCCTCTCCATCCCTCTGGATATGGAGCCGCCCACACCTCTGACTGGACAGCAGATCTTCTTGCCATTCTTCCCTACCTCTCCACCAAGGATCAGCCCTCCACCTGCCCCTCCCATTTTGCATGTTCAGCCACAAACCACGTTTGTCTTTTCTGTCATCACTAACACTGGATTGGAAAGGACCTCACCATCCCCTTCTCGGGGAACTTTTATTATGCCAAACTGTGGTTCCACCACCAAGGGTGCGGGGGTCAGGCAGCTGCAGCGGATTGCTCCAGCACCTTCTCCTACTCATTATCAGCCAGCAACACCCCAGGCCTCCTTCACTCAGCTACCTACAGCTGGTATGTACCTGCTAAGCTGGGCTCTATAGAGAGGGAAAATGGGGCCTGGCATTTTCAAGCTTTCTTTCTGGCATTTCTCTGCCTTTGGACCTTTAATACTGGGTATTTGTGCAGCTTACCCTAGTTAGTTTTACAGTAGTCACAGGGGTAGGGGGGGGGGGCAAAAACAATCAAGATTATGGCCACAACCATTCAGTTGATGCCCTAGCCCTTTTTTAACAGATCAATGTGCAGTGCATGTAAAATAGTAACAGGGCTTCAATCACAAAGACACAGCTGCCATCTTGCCTTTTTTGACACATGTGGACATCCCTGTGTAGACATGTGATTTTCAGACTGTCGTCAATTGAACTTCTTCATCTTTGTTAACTTTGGAGAAGCTCAAAAAGGTTTGTTTCTTTAAAGGTCTTACTAGCTGTATGTTTTGGAGTACCTCATTTACATAACTGTATAAGCTTTGTATTTATGAATTAACTGAAACAAAAGGAAAATGAAACATATGTTCATAGAATAATGGTTTTCTGTATTTGCACTTCTGGAAAATTATGAAATAATCTATAGCTCAGGTAGTAGTGGCTTCAGTGGATTTAGGATTTGAGTCTCTGGTGATAATAAGTAATGGGTGTTAAGATTTGTTTACTGATTTTTCTATTTTGTTTGGAATCTAATGTAGATTTAAGGACACAGCATACATGTAAGGTTTATATGTATAAAGGGACGGGCAGATTATTGTTTTCTGTTATAATTTTAGAAGTTACTTGTGTAACAATATAACAGCTGCAGGCTGTCCATCACTTGCTTTTCTGGGTTATACTCCTCCAATATATTCTTGCATGAGACAGACTGAACCAACTAAAGTCCATCTATAAATATTAAGATCTATGTAATTACTTTTGAAAGATGTTCTTAATTCCCAAACTGAAGTAATATTAAAACTAATTAAAATGCAGAACTCATATTTATATTCAATGTGTGTATTCTAATAAAAAAATTAAGGGCAAAAGCTTAACTGCAGAACTTCTTTTTCTGCTTTGTGTATATGCAACTATTAAATGTACAGCTATAAATAGACACCAAGGAATCGTTTTCAAGCTGAGTAGTACAAGCCAAAATTTTAGGTGAAAACAGTAATTGTGTCCTGGTTTACTTGGATTTTTGGTATTAGTTGCCATGCTGAGAGAGATGCCTATCATTTTAAGTAGCAACCGTGGGCTTTAATTTCTAGGTAAGGTAAGTGGGATCTACTGCAGCAGCATGGCTCACTTAACTAACTAACATAATTAACTGGTGAATTGCCAAATTGAATGTTCTTTTCTTGGCAGGGCTCTTTAGCCAGCCAAGGTTTCTAATGAATAGGGGTCCCTAGAGGAACAGAAACAGAAATAATAAAAAACTCTTTTCATTTCTAGGTCCTGTCCCACTGCCCCTCACTCCAGCCACAAAATCTGCTCAGGTAAGGATATTCTCTGCCATCTTCTGAAAAGGGTAAGATTGAGCAGCTCTGATTCTGCCACCTTCAAGAAATAGCCTTATTTGAGTCTTCTTGGATTGATATGCACAATTTATTCTTCATATTTTCTTTTGATCCCTCTCTGATAACTCTATTTATCATCTCCCACAGATTTGTGGCACCTCAAAGCTCCCTGCTGATGTCCTACTGAGGTCAGTCTCCATAACAAAGGAGCCTTCACCAGTGCCTGCCTCTGCTGCTGCCTTGCTTGGTATTGGTAACCATGTTAGGCATGGTTTGAAGTCATTTCACATCTCCTCTTAGCACTGTCTCATCTTTCCCTCTAGTTTCGCCCATATATCACATTTAGGTGAAAACAGGGTATAAACCCACCTACCCCTATATTTTTGGGATTGTTCTAGGTTCCCCAACCCAGAAGATAGCCAAGGAGACGAATCTGCGTAATCACCAGGAAAAGTACAAACATAATCCTGTTCAGGTAAGAAGAATACTATATTTATATGAAAGGAAGATCATATTTTTCCTAAGTAATTTTAAAATCTGAAGAGTATCTTAGAATCAGCTAGAATATGGTAGTGGAGGCAGGCAATATTATTTTTTATATCTAATTACCTGGCATGAGGGTAATTGTCTTAAATTCAAAGTCATCTTCATTTTGACTAAATATATTTTTCTCACCTGTCTCCACCCCCACACCGCACCCCCACATGCCATGTATCTTCTGCAGATAAAAAAATATATGCTTGATCTTGTATACCCCAATTGAGTGAACTGCAAAGTTGAGAATTGTCAGAATGTAATTGTCCCTTGCAGGGAAGCTGCCGATCGAGTTTTACTTCTGCTGACTGTGCCCGTCGTATGATCATCAGCTCAGGCTTTAACACTCTTGCCAGTCTAGTACTGTCAGGATCTGATCAGACTAGCACTAAGGTACATATCTTTTCCCTGTAAGGAAGAAGACCAGTATTTATCTGGTCTTTCCCATTTGTCCTGTGACCCTTTTGGAATTATTTCTCTTCTCTTATTCTGCTCCATCTTGTATGCTCACTCTGCTCTCAGCTCAGCAAAGCATTGCTCTTGCAGAAGAGTGTAGCCTATGTAGGAAGACTGCAGCAAGAACGCCGACAAAGCCAGGAGATGGTGGAAAGACTGCGTGGAGAAATAGAAGAATTGAGCACTGCCATTGAGTAAGTTGAATAGTAGGCCTGAGTGGTTGAGCTGTCACTTGATCTGAATAAAGGAGTTTATATGGTCGGGTTGTACTTTTTTTTTTTTTTTTGCAGTAAATTCCAGCGCCAACTTCCACCTAATGGAGCTCCTGTATTACCACCGCAATCTAATCAGGCTTCTGAACTCTATGAAGAATATGTACGTCAGCGCACCTTACAGGACTGGCGTTTTTGGATTGTATCCATCAGGAACTAACAAAGTGGGGTGCATTTGGTTACTGCAAAGGAACAAATTGGGGGCATAAAATCTGATGTATTATATTTGCCTTGGCAACGTATAAAACGGGAAGACTTGGCTGTAATGAATCCTTAACTCCTTTCAACTTGCAGTTCAGTGTGGTAATTAAACCACTGTTTGAGAGCTACACCAGAACAGTGAACACGGGCAGCATCAAAGATTTCTGCCAGTCGGTGTTGAACTGGTTGGAGCAGCACTGCACATTACCCATCTTGCGCCCTGGTATGGTTTGGCACGTTGGCAGGCAAATTAGAAGTGCGAGTAAAGTTGAAAACTCCAGGCAGATATTTCAAATACATAGGAGGTATTTCAGGGTCGTATCTGGGACTTGGTCTAAGACAGAATTTTGAGAAACTTTGCTTCCGAGCATGAAATAAATATAGTGTCTTAAGTGCTGGGAAACTGCCGCTGCCCTTTTAGCTTTTGGAAGGTCATGAAGATGTGGTTCTTCCCCCAAGCATTGGGCTAGGATGGAGTTGAGTCAGGAGTTCAAAAGTTTGGTTGTTCTGGCCACTGGTGGGAAAGTGGTTCTGTTTTTATTTCAGTTTTTATTGGTTATGAGCCACCTAAGATCGCTATGATAGGTGGCCATGTAAGTTCTTTAAATAAACAAACTCTCCTTAGTAAGATATGAGAAAAATGAAGGAAGAATTTGAAAATTTATCTTAATTCCATAACTTGCCTATTGTGATTTTGCTAGCATAATATGTAACTCAAAACGTAAGTGTGAAATAGGAGAATGAAAACTGCACAACTATGTTTAGATTTGGAGCAGAGGAAAGGCAAGAATTTTCATGAGATATTGGCTATGCAAGGAAAACATATACTGTATACTTATGGCTTTTTTTCCAACTTAAGAATCACAAGGATCGCATTCCCAGGGATTAGGAAGAGGCATCTGGTTTAGTTTGTTATTAATATTTTGTTATTTGTTTTTTTCTTCTTGTAGCTATTTCTGGTTCTCTTCTGCAGCTCAGCAAAATCACATCAATATTGACTCAGCCAGGCCAGCTGCCTGGGCAAGCTCTACGGGCAGTATCTTCTCCCCACTGCAAGAGCAACAACTAGGATGAAGATTAGTCTTCCCTCCCCCAGAGGTTGCTAGGAATCCATAGTAAGAACCTCTAACTCAGGAAATCCCTTCATCGTGCAAATAAGGACATTGTAACAATATTGGGACTAAGCATTCCACAGCAGGGAATCTCTGGGCACTATCTTTGGTGCTGGTCACCATGGTGGAACAGTGGAAGAGTGGAGGGAATAGGACAAGGTATAGAGTTGGAGTTCCTATTCAGCTCTGCAAAGGAGTCATCAGGCATGGCTTTAGATTCTTTTAGAACTGGGATGAGTGTGGGTCTCCATTTCCACAATTTTCCCACCAGAGGGTGGTAAAGATACTTAGTATGATTCAGTTCCTCACAGAATGTGAAAGTTTATGGCTAGCAGTCCCTGGTGTGAGTATATCATTACTTCATATCAATCTGCTGATGGCTTGGAAAACTGCATGTCCCACAGGCTGATTGCAGGCTTTGCTTATATAGCTACATCCATGGATGGTTGTAGACATGCACTTCACCTAATTTACCTCTTTCATTCCTGATCAGAGATCTTATGCAAAGCTGTTCATTTTCTGGACATTTCCTGGATTTCTACAAGAGGGTGGAATCTGGCTTCCAGCACAGATGATGTTTACTTTGGGGTTTTCTACCTCCAAAGACCATATATTGATATTTAGATAAAAAATAAAAACTCTGAATAATATGAGCAGGTTCATATAAAGCAGTGATTTTTGATGGACCAGAGTTATTTTGCAGTGCAATCCTATGCCCTCTGTTCAAAGGAGTTAGTTCCAATAATACAACTGTTGCCTAATTATTTTACATACTGCAACTAACACTTTCTATACAGCCGTTCAAATGAACTGGAAGAGTAGAAAACCTTTCTAAAATGCTATCTTGTAGCACAGTTCCTTTTCATAAATGTTTCTATGATTGATGTCCTCAGCCAGTGGCTATCCTATCCATAGTGGCATACCAAATCCATTATCTTAGACAATTTTTCACAGTACTGCTGCCTCTGGGTGAAATTATCAAATGGGAGACAACTTGCTTTAAGGAGCATACTTGTTTGATTAAGGTATTTGTCGCTAAGGAGTTACATGTTAGTATAAAGATATCAGAGAGAACAAACATCCTGATATTGCATAGCAAAGTGTCCAGACTCTGATAGTATCTAATCTATTCTACCTGATAGCATGCAGAGTATTCTTATGTCCTTATAGTTGTTCTTGCCTTTTAACAAGCATTCTGATACTGATAAAGACAGACAACTGTGAGCAATAAATTGACCCCATCTATTTCATCTATTTCATCTAGACCCCATCTATTTCCCTGGGGCAGGGATTGGCAATATGGCGCTTATATTAGGGCATCTATCACCATCTTGAAGTGATACCCATAGCAATTCTAAAATAAATGAAAACTGATTTTAAAAAGCCATTGGTTTAGAGATTTAGTGAAAGTACAACATTCCATTGTCCAACATTTTCCTGTTGGAAGACAGGAATATACAAAATTCACTACAAACTGAAATATCCCTTGTTCTTTAACACTGTCATATGATCTAGCCTTTTTGTGTCCCCCTTCACTCTTGTATGGAAGAGGAACTTTTACCTAAAGATACCACCAACAAATTATATTAATGAAATGCTAATATATATTAGCAGAGAACCAGTTTGTTGTAGTGCTTAAAACATCAGGCTAGAAACTGGGAGACCATGAGTTTTAGTCCTGCCTTAGGCATGAAGCCAGCTGGGTGACCTTGAGCCAGTCCCTCTCTGTCAGCCCTAGGAAACAGGCAGTAGCAAAACCACTTCTGAACTTTTGCCAAATTATAGATAGATCAATGAGCTAATTGTCGCCTACCTTGGCTATAATTATTGATAAGATTTTAATTTTTTCCAGTCCCCTGCAATTTCCTTAGTTGAAGCTATCTTAAAAGGAGACCACATGTAAACATTTCTTCAATTTTAAAATGTGTTAATGAACAACTACAGATTTCTTATGATCGTATTCTATTTTGTAATTCCAGAGGCTATCTTTGTTTCAGTTACATCTCAGATGCAACTTGAGTAATTGTTAACAACTTTACTTTGATGCTGAGTTTGTATTTTTAGCTTTCCCTTTTCACTAT